AAAAAAAAAGAAAAGAAAAGGAAAGGAAAGAAAAGAGTAGGAAGAGGGAATTTAGAGTCCTGCAAAACAAAAGAGATTTTGAAAAAATCAAGGAACACGTATTTCCTTCCCTAGTTTCCTCCTCCACACACACCAAAAGGAGAACTACCATTTTAAAGGGCACTTTGCCACACTGAGAGCAAGTGGCAGTCTTGAAGTAGGAGTCTTAAAAACTACCCCTTAGCCAAGAGCCTGTCCATGAAATTAATAAACAAAAATAGTCTTCATCTATACAAGGCTTCTATAAGAAGAAAACAGAAAGCGAGAATGGAAACATTTCAGGTGATGAAAATCTACCCCTGCAAAAACAACCAAAAACAGAAGAAAACTATAGGTAATACTCCACATCAAATTAATTATTTGGTGATGTGGAGGGGACAAAACCTTGAATCAGAAATTCCAACTAACAGAAACAGACAAAAAAAAAAACAACAAAAACAAAACAGGAAGAAATAAAATGAGAGTTGATTGAACACAGGAAAGAAATGGAAAACAGCAAAACCATGTCAGAAATGAGGACAAAATTACAAGGTGGCCAAAGGAATATATTCAAATTAAAAGTTAAGAAAATATATTGAAAAAAGCTAACCAAATAACTAAGAGAATGAAAATGAGATAAAGAAAGAAGTTTAATAACAGGGTCAGCTGTTGAAATGGAAGAGAGAAGGGGCGCCTGGATGGTTCAGTCAGCTGAGCTTCTGATGCTTGGTTTCAGCTCTGGTTGTGATCTCAGGGGTCATGGAATCGAGCCCCACATCAGGCTCCCACTCAGTGGGGAGTCTGCTTGAGATTCTCTTCCTCTCCTCCTGCCCCTCCCCTTCTTGCACACGCTCTCACATGATTGTGTACATGTGCGCTCTCTTAAAATAAATAAATCTTAAAAAAAAACACAAAAGAACAATGGAGGAGAGGCAAAGAAGATCCAACAGAGATATATAAAATTGGAGTTCCTGAAGAAGAAAAACGTAATAATAGAACAGAATTAACATTTACAAATATTACCCAAGAAAATTTCCCAGAAATAAGAGGATCTGATTCTACATATTTTAAAAGTCTATCAAGTACCTGGGAAAACTGAGCCACAACAATCAACTCCAAGACATATTCTAGCAAAATTATTAGACTTTCTCAAGAGAAAAATCCCCAAGCAAAATAATAATAATAATAAATGTAAACAAGTTAATAACTAATTAATTTTTTACAATAGTAAGGGCAAAAGAATTAGGTCAACATCAGACCTCTCAATATCAATGTAGAAAGCAAGGCAACCATGGAGCAACAATTTTTAAGAAACTCAAGGAAAGAGAATATGAATCAAGAATTTTATATCCAGCCTAGTTATCCTTCAAGTGTCAAGTCTATAGAAAACCAGTTTTAAACATTCCACAACCATGAGCCTTTCTTGAGAAATCTAGGAGAGGACAAGCTTCATCCTATCAGGAGATGACTGGGAAAACTTTGTGAAAAGGGATAGTAAGCGGGGCTCCTGGGTGGCTCAGTCAGTTGAGTGGCTGACTCTCGGTTTCAGCTCAGGTCATGATCTCAGTTCATGATCTCAGGGTTGTGAGATCAAGCCCCACAATGGGCTTCATGCTCAGTGGTGAGTCTGCTGGAGATTCTCTCTCTTCCTCTGTCCCTCCCCCCTAAAATAAATAAATAAATAAATAAATATTTTTAAAAATGGATAGTAAGCATTTGATATATGTAATTGCAAACAGGTACTTTCCTTGGTGCATTGACCGCATATCAAACAAAAATCTTGAAAATGGGTTGTGGGTCCTCTTCTAGATGACAACTTTGGATGAAAGGGGAGGTTCTGGGATCTCACACACCTTGGATGAAGAGGGAGATTGTAGGATATGTGTGAAATAAACCAGGGGGGAAGATTCTCACTTAAGATGTTCTGAGGCAGGTAGGGCCAGTTTGTTTGAAACATTTTACCCTTTTACTGTTGGGGGTGGAAATACCACAAATCTGAGTCAAAAGAACTTTTTCTGGTTCCTGTGATACAAACTCATGGGGACTCTCCTAACTTTGGTCTGAATGTGCTGTTTATCCACCCTCTAGTTTCTGCATTTTGGTCCAAATGTTCTAAGTATGTTTGATTTTTGTCTGTGTGAACTGTGACAGGGATAAAGTTGGGCAAGTTACTTTCTAAGTGTTTTCCTCTCCTCTATTTATTATATGACCTAGGGTGTTATATTAAAAATTCCATAATTTAGGGACACACAGGTGGCTCAGTCGGTTAAGCATCTGCCTTCGGCTCAGGTCATGATCCTGGAGTCCCGGGATCGAGCCCTGCATTGGGCTCCCTGCTCAGTGGGGAGTCTGTTTCTCCCTCTGCCCCTCACCCCACCTGTGTTCACTTTCTCTCTCTCAAATAAATAAATAAAATCTTTAAAAAAATAAAAATTCCATAATTTAGAGAGCGCTTTACTACTTTCCAGGTCTTTCACAAACATCTCATTTTGATTTTGATTTCAAGGATGCTAATGGTAAAATTTAATTTTAAGATCTCGATTTATGCCATTTTGGCACTGTTTAAGTGAACCCATCCTAACTTCCTTTACAACCTCCTTCCACTATCACCCACCCCAAGGAAAATTTAGATCAAGGGTACTTAATGACAAGAGGGGGTGTAAAATCCAGACATGAAAAATTACAGCTATTCCTTATCAGAAATCAAAACAAGCAACCAAAGTTTAAGTGGCAACTAGTTTTAAGTGTCTGCAAATAAAATTGGGGGAAGTTGGGATAGCATTAATACCACAAGGAGACAATAACAAGGAAATTAGGTGGCAGATTAAGGACATAACAAGCTGCTTTTTTTTTTTTTTTAAACCCACTATTCTTGCTTAGCACTTTAGTGCATACAAAGATAAACAATACAGAACCTATGGAGCTCCTATTCTAGGGAGGAAATGAATACGTGCAAACTTAACTCTAAGGCAAGGCAGATTGTGTTAAATATTTTCAAGTGGCACAAAGTGCTGTAAAAGCATCAGAAGAAGAAAAAAAATTCCTCTTCCCAGGTCAGCATCACCTGGAAACTTGTTAGAAATACAAATTCTCATGCCCCCGCACTAGCCCTCCCGAAACAGAAACTAGGAGCCCTGCAAATAACGTTGATGCCAAAGTGGGAGAATCACTGATGTCAGATATTTATACCCAGTAATATGGCTTCTAGGGAGTCTGGAAGGAAATGTTACCAATGTCATGCAAATATTTGTGTCCTAACGTGTCTTTTGCAGCCTAAGATGTGAGATGAAAAATTGAAAACAATGAAAGTCCCCAACAATAGGGGAATTATTAATCACTATAGTTATGTGTCAGTTAAGACGCCAGCCACATTTACCATCCTAACTATAGGACACTGCTCAGCTAAGACTGGGAGCCCTGGGTTGTTTCCTTTATAGAAGCCCCATCTCTACCCTCTGAACCACTTCGCCAGGCCAGAGCTGAATTGATGAGGTGTGCAGCCACGCCACGCCACTAGTCTATGCCAGTGAAAAGCTGGCCATGCATGGGAGGATGGTGATCAGCTGCACTAGTCAGTCTTCCTCCTGGCAGTCTGGGCTAGGAAATAGAGAGAAGGAGCTAGGTAGTAGAGATAGGCATGCAAAGTATGTTTTTAAAGTTTTGTTTGTGATGATCCCACTTTGAAAGGAAGCAAAGGGCAGGAGAGGGAGAGAAGTTTCATGAGAGAAGAAATTTTCACAGAATGTGGTTATAATTATCTCTCCCTGGTGAAAGAGAAGTAAAAGTCACACTGACGCCTGGTAGCTGTTTTTTGTTGTTTATTTTCTATGTATTTAGAATAAAAATAAAAATAAATCTACCCTATGCCCCAGCAATTCTAATTCTAGGTATTTACTCAGGAGAAATGAAAACATTTTTACAAAAACACTTGTAAAAGATTGTTCATTGAGGCTTTATTCATAATAGTTAAAAACTAGAAGCGGCCCCTGTGATAAGCACCTGGCAAATGGATAAATAAATTGGCACATTCCTACAATGGAATACTACTCAGCAGTGAAGACAAACTACTCACACACACAGTGACATTTAATGGGCTTGGCAAACCATGGCCTATGGGCCTGCTACCTGTGTTTGTAAACAAAGTTTTATTGGAACAGCCACCCCCACTCGTTTATCTTTTGTTGGGCTGTTTTCTGACTACATCAGCAGAGTTGAGTAGTTTCAAGAGATTGTCTGGTCCCAAAGGCTAAAAAAGTTACTACCTAAAAATATTAAGAGAAGATTTGCTGTCCTCTGAATTAATCTCAAAAACATGGTTCTCAGTGAAAGAAGTATATACTCTACGATTCCATTTTATGTGAAATTCTAGAAGGGCAAAACAAATCTAGGTGTGACAAAATCAGAACAGCTGTTGTCTCTGGGAGAGCAGAGCACACATTGACTGGGAAGGGTCACAAGGAAATTTTCAGGGATGATGATGGTGTCATAGATTTTGATAACCACTTGGGCTCACAGTTCAATGCCTTTTTTGGGGGGAACTCAGAGGTGTACTCTTATGATTTGCACGTTTTTTGTGTATACATGGAAAAAACTGTTAACAAACATTGAAACTTAAGTAACAACATTTATGCTGAACTATTTAAGGGAACATATTCTGATGTCTGCAATTTACTCTGAAATGCCCCCCAAATAGGTGGGATTAATGGATAGAGAGAGGATAGATGTGTGAATGTGTGACATAGGAAGTGTAGTAAAATCTCAGTGGATGTTCACTATAATATTCTTCCAGCTTCACTTCATGCTGGAAATTTTTCATAATGGAATGTTGGGGACAAAAAAACAACACTGACAATGTTTAAGATTAGATACTGAGGATTTTTTCATTTACATAAATACAAGGACTCAAAGATAATATTGTACCAACCTCTAAATAAGGTAGAGTAACAAATCCAATAGTAAATAGACCCTCACTCCTTTTACAGGGTTTTATGGAGAAATGACCCATGAAAAACAATTCCCTGCTTCTACTAGAACAAACTTGCTGGACGTGGATGGCCCCGTCTTGATGGCCGAGAGCTGGAAGTTGAGCCCTGTGGTCATGAAGGAAGTTGCTGTAGTCCGTGTATCCTTTCTGTTCAGATGATGCTGATATACGTACCCCAACATTTGACGTTTTCTTGGATGGATATACAGTACAGGCAAGTTTTGACTGAAGAAGGCTCACCCACATTGCCTCTGCTTTCAGCCATAGCCTCCTGAATGGAGGGAGTGAGAGGAATGTCCTAATGATGCTAAGGTCCTGTCATGGGATCATAACCAAGAGAATGAGGGTCATTGTCATCTCTGTTCTCAAACCCTTAATGTAAAGTGTTCTCAATTTGGTTGAAAGTCAGGCGATTTGAATGATCCAGACCAGAAACTGTTCTGTACAACAGACGCAGCAAGATGACACACAAAGGAGGAATACTGAGATGGTGAGGGGTGAGGCTTGTTAAGGTGGGGCATCATTGGGAATATTCATAGCTCCTGTTGGTCTGCTGGAGCTGCTCTGGTTCTGAGCAATTCTCATTCCCTCACTTCCTGCGAGGTCCAATTATTTGTCTTTTTTTTTCTCCCTTGGTCAATTTAGCTGAGAACCCTCTTTCCTTATTACCTGGTGGTCTCCTCATAATACACTTCCTATTATTTGAGGTAACCCAAATGAGTGTTGGTTCTTATCACCAAAAAAAAAAAAAGAAAAAAGGGAAAAAAAATAACACACATGGGGAAATGCTTACCAAGTTATACCCACATCCGGTCATCCATAGTTGATGTAATTTCAGTAAGTTTTTTTAAGATTTTATTTATTTATTTGACAGAGACAGAGCACAAGCAGGGGGAGCAGCAGAGAGAAGAAGAAGGAGAAGCAGGCTCCCCACTGAGCAGAGAGCCCGACATGGGGCTCCTGGGATCATGAACTGAGCCAAAGGCAGACACTTAACTGATTGAGCCACCCAGGTGCCCCATAATTTCAGTAATTTAAAAAATATGTACCAAGGGGCACCTGGGTGGCTCAGTCGCTCTGTGCTCAGTGTGGAGTCTGCTTCAGATTCTCTCTCCCTTTCTCCCTCTCTCTCTCTAATTATTAATTAATTAATTAATTAATAAAAGCTTAATGTACTGAATAAAAGCCTAAAAGGCAATAATACCTGCATCATTAAGGTCATTTCTTGTTAAGTTTATTGTTATTTTTTGATCTTCCAAATGCTTTTTAAGGTTTTCTCCTGGTTATGGTTCCTATGTTCCAGCTTCTTCACAAACCTGATGACTTTTTTATGCCATGACAAGAATTCTGTGTTATATTATTGGGTGTTGGAGGATTTGTATTCCTTTAAATATTTCGTTCTGGGGTAGGTTAGGTTTTTTGGGAACAATTTGATCTTTTCAAGACTTTCTTTTAATTTTTCTTAGATGGACGCCCACCAGTCCTTTAGTTTAGGTGTAATCTGGTCCCATGACTGAGGTAAGACTCTTCTGAGGATTCTATTTAATGCTCCATGTGTTCGGAGTTCTTCCTGCTCAGGAAACACAGGTTATTCTTGGCTCTGCATCAGCTCTGGGGATTTTTCTGCCTGTTTTTCTTGGGTAGTTCCTTCCAAGTCATTTCTGTACATGGGTCCCTTGCTCAATGCTCACTGGAAGACTGGAGGCGTCCCCGCTGATGGTATTGGAGCCCTCGGTATAGTTATCTTTTCGCCAAACACAGCCCTGTGGATTCTCGCTACCTTGATCTGTGTCTCCTCAGCTCTGTGAGACCTCTGGGTTCTGTGGCCCCCTCCCCCCACCATGTGCAGCCTGGAAACTCTCTCCAGGCAGGAAACAAGGCCAATCAGAGGACTCACATCCTTTATGTCCCATCTCTCGGGGGGGGGGGGGGGGGGCATAGGCACAGTTCTTCACTGCCTACCGCTCAATGTCTGAAAACCAGTGTTTTGTATCTTTTGTCCAGTTTTGCGTTGTTCTAGATGAATGGATAGATCCAGTCCCTGTTACTCCATTATGGCTGGAAGCAGAGATTCCTAATATTTTCTAAATGTCTCAAGTTTTCTACAATTTGTGTACCAGCTATGTATACCCACAAAAGTCAAGTCTTTAAAAAGTAAAATTGTCCTATACAGTAGCAAGCAAGTTAGAACCATGGAAGTTTTAAGCCAACATACCAGATTTTACCTTCAAATCAATTATTCACTAGTGAAGACAGATAAGCCTAAAATGGCATAAAGCAGAAATAAGATATTATGTGCTCTGGATGACTTCTATTACAAAAACAAAAAACAAAAACACCCACCACCACCACTGCCACCAAAACCAAACTGTAAATATTTCTTTTTTTTTTTTTAAAGATTTTATTTATTTATTTGAGAGAGAGAATGAGATAGAGAGAGCATGAGAGGGGGAAGGGTCAGAGGGAGAAGCAGACTCCCTGCTGAGCAGGGAGCCTGATGTGGGACTCGATCCCAGGACTCCAGGATCATGACCTGAGCCGAAGGCAGTCGCTTAACCAACTGAGCCACCCAGGCGCCCCAAACTGTAAACATTTCAAAGAGCATTCTGAATTTCCATAGAACTGTATGTTGTGGCAGTTGAGATACGGGAGTCTGGAAGCAGGCTGACGGAAATAGCTTGGTTTTCTCATTTATTTAAAGCTAATTCTGCCGTGGAACTTCACTCTGGGCCCTGCTCCACCCTTCCTCCACCAGCCTTTGGGGATATTTCTCCTGAGGAAGACTGACACAGTCCAGGGAGTCTGTTTTTGTCAGTTATCAGGGAAGTTGCGTCTAATATAAACTCCCCAAATGTGCCAATCCAATGGCTATTACCCAAAGAATGGAAGACTCATCCCTTCCCTGGAGGGGTGTCTCCCGCAGTCCTGCCAAAGCCTGCCTCCAGCCACATGAGGAACACAGGTTGAGAAGCACCTTCCCATTCTCAGATCCAAGACACCAGAAATGGGGGCTTGGTATGATGTCTTGCTGAGATTTATCTACCCATTCCCTGGTGGGGGGGTGGGGGGTGGGGAGTCTATTTTGCTACGCTGTCAGGAGAATGTATCAGTGAGCCAAGAGCCTTGCGAAAGGAAGGCTCTATTGATCCCGGTCCAGAAATGCCTTCTGGCTCCCTGGCAGCAGGGCTGGCCTGAGACTCCTCCTCTGTTTATACTTCCTATCAAAATGTTAGGGCTTCAAGCTTTAGCCTTCACAAAATCTGTAAAGCTCAACAGTGGAAAATCACATCCCAGAGATCAAATTCACACAGTGATGTCAAAAGAAAAAAAAAAAAATCTGATTTCCTCACTGCCTTACAATTTTTTTCTTTATTGTCTTCTATTAGCCTTCTCTAGCCCTTGAGTGAAGGGGTGACATTTAGTTTCTTGTATCTTGAGATATTTTCAGGGCTGCAGGTGGGAGAGGGGAGGGTGATGGGGATGAGGGCAGGGAGGTGCCTGCAAAGGGAATGAATAGACCCACAGGGTGGGAGATGGGTGATGGAAAAGGATGTGTGATGGCTGACTTAGTCAGTGCTTGAGAGGGTTTCCAGACCTGAGTTGCTAACTGAGACCCACGCCACCCTCCACTCCCCCACCCCTGCCACTGGCTGGTCCTGAGAGTGGGAAAGCATCTTGTCAGGCAGGGACCATGGCAATTACAAGTGGAGATTCTGCAATCTCCTAAGGAGGTTTCCCAAGCCCTATTCTTGCCTCTCCCTGACGCCTTCTAGAATCTTCTTTCTGGCTTCTGCTGCTCTCTAGGTAAGCAATTCACAGCCTATGGATTTCTACTTGTGTAGTCTGCCCTCCCTGTAGTGATTTTCTTTGGTGGAGTAATTAACAGAGCGAGCTCCAAAGTTAGAGGGTTCAAATCTAGCTCTGACACCTGCAAGTTATGTCATCTCTCTGATTCTTCATCTGCTATCCCAGAGGGTTGCTGTGAGAATTAATGTAGAAATCATACCAGGATGCCTAGTGAGCTGTAGCACAGTAATACCCCAAGTGGCCACTGTTGTTTGCCCTGAGAATTATAGGCAGTTCTTGGGTCTGATTCTGCCCCTTCCTTATTTTTTTTTTTTAAGATTTTATTTATTTATTTGACAGAGAAAGAGAGAGAGAGTTCACACGCGGGGGGAGAGGCAGAGGAAGAGGGAGAAGCAGACTTCCCGCTGAGCAGGGAGCCCGATGTGGGGCTCCATCCCAGGACCCTGGGATCATGACCTGAGCCAAAGGCAGACGCTTAACGACTGAGCCACCCAGGCGCCCCATCCCCTTCCTTATTCTTCATGTCCCTGTCCCTCTTGCATCTTTTTCTGCCATTTGCCAGTTGCTGACCCTGGGCAGGCTACTAAATGTTCTGTGCCCCATTTGTTAGGGAAAATAATGGTGCCTCCCTCAAAGGGTTGTGACCCTTGTTAAATGGAGCCATTTAATAGAATGTCCAAAATGAAATCCTTACGTAGTTTAAGACAGCACCTGATGTGGAGAAGGAACTAAAGAGATGGCTGTTTGTATTGGAGTGCATACAGTTTTGTTTTTTAACTGCACAACAAGGCCACCATCTTGATCTGTCCAGTAGCAATTGCAGCACGGGTAACAGATGAGAGAGATTCCTGGGGCAGCGGCTATCTTTGGACCTAGAATCCCATAGAATCGGAGACCTGTTAAGCCACTAGCTTGGGTCATTGCTGAATTGAGGAGATGGTGAAGAGGAGGCCATGATCATGGAGCACAAATACATCAGGGGATGGTTTAAGGAAATCTCTAGAAGTCCTTTCAGACATTTTTGACTTACACAAAATTAATTCATGTTTAGTCCCTTGAAAAAGCTTTGTTATGAGAGATATGAAGTAATACCATTTGCAATATTATAGGCACCCCATTTTTTAAATCCCACTTTTAAAAATAAGAAAGTGTATGTAATAGTCTACATATATGTACATATACAGTTAGCATATGCATGAAAAAATTTGAGGAGACTATATTCCAAACTGTTAATATTGGCATTTTCAGTGGGGTAGGAAAGGAATTACAGGAGACTTCTTATTTTCTGCAATATATATTTTTATATCATCAGAACTTTTAAAAAGGTGAAAGATTTATACAATCTGAAGAGAAACCAGAGTATTCATCAGAACTTTTAAATCATAATGACACATTTTTCTTTATTATCTCAGAATAATTTAAATATATATATTCCATGTATTAATATGTGAAAGGGGCGTGCATGCTCCCTTTAAAAGTATTGTCTGTATGTGAAAAGGACCTCAATATTTTGCCTGGAACTTAAGTCCACCTTATCCCCTCCATCCAGGGCATGCTGGGAACCCATTATAGGCACAGATGACAGAAGTTTGTCCACGTTTTGGAAATGGCTGGACACATTCGGCATTGTCCTGAGGCAGAAACATGGGCATGGGAACCACTGGGAATGACATCCAGCTGACTGCGGTTGGGGGCCCACATGGACGCCATCGCTGCTAACAGGCACTGCCTCTTCCTGACAGCTCTGCTCTGCCCGGCCACCAGTCACTTACTTCCCATTCCCAAAGCTTTGATTCCCGTGATGTCCCAGCCCCTACTTCCAAATTTGTCTCCTTTAGGCCTCTAGGCTCCCATTCTTGATCCTGGTTTGACTCTCTTTTTTGTGGTTGTTGTTTTCTGGCCCCAGTGTCTTGATTGCCTCACCTGTCCCAGACGTTCAGACACCATGACCACCTTTCTAGGTCTGTTTGGGCTGCCCTGCCTGGCATTGGCCTATGACACAACTCTGTGGAAATTCCTAGGTATCTGAGGGGGAGCTCTGAAGAAGTTAACATGGCTTTGAAACTCCCTTCTGATAAAAATGACAACTGAGGTATTCGCAAGCAAGCCAGCCATCTATGGCCTTGGTTTTTAGATTCATCCAAGAGGTTGCGTGTATCAACAGTCTGTACCTTTTTAATTGCTGAGCAGGATTCCAAGATATAGGTGTATTACTGTGTTAACCATTCAACTGTTGAAAGATGTCTGGGCTATTTTCATTTTTGGACCATCACTATAAACATCCCTGTACAGGTTTTCGTGTGAAAATAAATATCCATTATCCTTGAGATAAATGCCCAAGAGCACAACTGCTGAGTCATCACGTAATTGCACGTTTAGATTTGTAAGAAACTGACAAAATGTTTTCCAGAGTAGCTGCACCATTTCACTTTCCCATCCACAATGTATGAGTGGTCTCGTTTCTCATCATCCTCCCCAGCATTTGGCATTGTCACTATTTTTTGGTGGTATAGTGCTATCACGTTTTAGTTTGCATTTCCCTGATGGCTAATGATGTTGAACATCTTTTCATGTGTTTATTGACCACCTGTATATCCTCTTTGCAGAAATGTCTCTTTGGGTCTTTTGCCCATATTTAACCACTTCTAAAAAGTTAACTCTCTAGAAAGTCTAGAGATACAAATCACAAAGCCCTCGGAAGCACCATTTGACGTTTGTTAGCAGCTTGTGGGGGGTTAAGGAGGTGGTCAGGAAGATATATATTGTGCCCTGCCCTCCAACTTCTTCCTCCATAAGACAATTAAAGATACACTAAACTGATGGGGTCCAGGTTTCAAGATACCAGTTGGACCACATTTTCTAGTGTTCAGGGTCACCATATGTGGTGAAAGTCCCGTGTCCTACATGGATGTGGCTTTCTTTCTGGTGGCAGAAGGAATAGCCTGAGCCAGGGTTGTCTCTCTGGGGTGGGCTTGCCCATCTTGATTTCTCTGTCTTCCTCTCTGCATGTGTGCATGTGGCAGCCTTGTAGATCTTCAGCCAGCTGGGGAAGGAGTTACACTTAAGGCAGAGAAGAAGCCTCACTTAGAGGCAGGGGCACCAATCTTCTTGACCAGACACGGGGCCCTGGGGTAAACACTACATTCTCAGGTAATAATGAAGTGTAGTTAGAAGACCCTCATTTGGTACTATCAGGATCTTGCCTGGGCCACTTCTTTTTTCGTGGAGCTGTTGATTCTTCGAAGTCAAACTCAGCATGGCGAAGCCAAAGCCAAAGCCAGTGAATGATAAAAGAAATATCTACTGAAGAGACTTGGCTTCTAATGGGGGATGAGGTTGACAAACCCTATTCCTCTGTGTTCTCAGGCTGGGTGAGTCCTAACTCTTCTATTGTCTTCCCAGAGTGAGGATGTTATGATACCTTGCTAAGATCACCAGTAACCTCCTTCCAAACCCTAAGGCCTTCCTCAGCTCTCACTGCGCTCCCTCTGTCACTACCTGACATTCACTAAGTACTTGCTCTGTCATATTCTGCTTTCCCCACATTTTATTTTCTCCCTCTGCCCTACCATTTCTCCCTCCTCAGAATGTCTAACATTAGCTATCACCTCAAGTCCTTGTTCGGTCTCCTCTTCTCCCCACAGCCTCATTCTCTTCTAGGGCTCATACTTTCTCAGGATTTTAGCCACCTCTTCTTTTAGATGTCACCCAAGGGGACTTCCCTCCTGGGCTTCCGGCTTCTTTCAGGTCTGCTGCAGCTCTTTGTCTTGCCATCAGTATGCCGCCATTGCTCTTTCTTCCTGGTTTCCTGTTCCTAATACTGGCAAATCCAAGCTAACTACGGATTTATAAATGATAAAGAAGTAGTAGTAGCTGATGTAATAGTTGTGATCATGATTCTGTGTTTAACCCAGTCATCGAATGCCGTAGCTAAAACCCAAGTAGTTTTCATCCTAAACTTTTCTTCTCCTTGGGCTAGGGAACCTATATGATTTTACCCTTTGTCTATATAATAAAACCCAGATGAATGTTGAGTTCAAAACAAGAGGGCATGTGGGAGTTTTCCATTTGGACAAGAATTGCCTTTGGTGTAGTTCCAAGCATTGTCTCCAGCTTTTTCTAAGAATAAAGGCTAAGGGAGGAGGGGGTTGTCTAGTGGGTGGGAAGGGAGGGATGCTGGGGTATCAGCTGAACTAGTGCTGAACTTGGCATATTTTTACACTCAAATAATGCAGGAAGAAGGCCTGGATGGTAGGGAAGGGGACTGGGGAAGAAGTTTCCATGGTACAAGAGAGCTATGCTAGCCACACAGGGCTCCATTGAGTGAGGAGTATTAACTGTCTTTAACAGAGTAATCTAGGGGTTGGTTTCTGTGACATCTCTTATGTCTCTCTGGTTGTGCAGCTAAATAGGTTTTCTTTTTCTTGCCTTCTTTCCCCAAATCCATCAGCTTTTGCTTACCTTTACCTCAGTGAGCCCCAGGGGTCTGGTAAAGGCAGAATGTCTATTCCAGGGGAGAAGGGAGGCAACAAGGGACCATATCTAATCACATTCTTATGTAGGAAAAGTAAAGCACAGGGTAGGTGGTGACTCTCCTGCACGACTTAGTGACTTCACAGACAGAGCCAAATCTAAACACACACAAATTGCTCCTGAAATTGTAGCCTCTGAAACAATGATTTCTGGCCATTAGACTTCATGACTTTTCATCCTTACTAGTTGGTTCTAACTCTATGGTGAGATGAGGAGGTGACAAACATTAAGTTTTCTTTCTAGGCCTCAACCTCCATAATATATTTGTAGAAAACATAAGCAAAAATTCAAAACCAAAAAAACCCAGCTTTGAGCAATTGATTTTCCGGCTTACTATATTTACTTTTTGTTATTTTAATTTTATTTTTAGAATGTATTGCTTCCTTCATCAGGAAAATTTGAGGTGGCATGCAAAAATACATGGGCCACAGATATTTTAAAAATATGAAGAAATCCGGTCAAAGTGAGAAAATATAGGTAGGAAAAATAAGGTAAGTGAAGGGTAAAGTTAGTGTATAGAAATATGTACCATAAGCATGAGCTAAAGGTCCAAAGTGGCCTTGAGCTTGTAGCAACCAGCACAAAAAGGAAAATATTATATAATGCTAAATGATAATAATAGTGGCTATCATTTATTGAGTGTTACTATGTGGTGTCAAAGATAAACAAAGCTGGACAATATTTAAAGTGGTTGGGACAGACTTTAATCAGTAATATGTGCGCTAGGGCAATAGGGAAAAGAGTCCATCCACATGAATGGAACTCACCTTTGACTTGTACAGAGGTGACTAGACATTTTAAAGGGAGAATGAGGGCATAGGGAGGAGGATTAGAGGGGTCTCAGTAGAGTCAGGTAAGTGAAAAATCACGAAAAGCAGGCAGGAGTTTGGCCCATGTGAAACCCATCTGGGTTTGCTAACTGGGGTGTACCCAAGTTAGGCTCCTCCCCTCCCACAGAGGCTGGGAGACAGGGCCCTATCTTCAGGTGTTGCCTGAAACAAACAGTAAATTCTTTTGGCAGCTTTGAGTTTTCTTTAAAAGGGGGGCTAGGGTCATCCAGGAGATGTAGACTTGAGTTGTTAGAAACTATGTTAATATTTTGTTCACGTCTTTGTAGGCCAAGGTTGAAGCCCAGTGGATTAGAGGGCTCAGGGGAACCTGGCTACAGGTTGGTCAAGGAGAGAATCTTTGTCAGGAGCAGGCATTGTTCTACATTTTTTTACATGTATTATTCCACTTACTGTTCACAAAATCCCTGCGAGGGGGATGATGTTGTCCCCACTTTACAGATGAGAAAACTGAGGTGCAGAGATATTAACAAGTTTATATGGACAGTAAGGGCCAAGAATTAAATCCAGGCATCCTGACAGCACAGCTGAAACTAATATTTTAATAATTAATTATTGGCATTATAAGGATAGGGCTGCCTCTGTGGATTTGGGGTCTCACCTAAAAGGTGAGATTATTTACTGCATCAGTCACCAAAGAATAGAATCATGTCTCTCAGAGGAAACAGAAGAGGGGCAGAGAAACTTCAGGAACATTGTCCAGGGGATTCAACTCTCTTGGCCTTATTCAAAAAGTTGGCAAGCTCTTGCTTAGGGAGCTTGTGTGGGGGTGGGGTGGCCCATAAGAAGAAGAGGTCCTCTGCATGGAGCCAGGCCAGGAACCAAGAAATGGGGGCTACAGGTATGGTGTCTGGAGGCCATGCCAATCTACTAGGACTAGAGCTGAACTAGCTCAGATCATGTGCAGAAGGCAGTGGCAAGGGGCAGAACATGAGGGCTCAGGTCTTTGTATTTTATTGTCTGATGGTTTGGAAAGCAAATCTGGGAACTATCCCTCACCAGTAGGAGAATCAAGTGGGAGGGAAAAAAAGCCCACTTGGGAGCCTAGGCTCTAAGCAGAGCTGATTTTCCAGAGGCATATATGTTTTCTTGAAGTCATCCAACATCATTTTGTGATTCTAGCCTCTTGGTTCACAGTCTATAAGGGAACAGCTACTCCCAGAAAACAAACAGATAATGAAAAACTTCCCCAGTGTTTTTCTTCCTTCTCTCTGTTGATATTTATGTATTTCCAGGCAGAGGGCAAGACACAGCAGATTTTCTGTATTCCTAGTACAGCTTCTAAAATTCCTCCCTCCTCCCCCCCAAAAAGAGTGCCTGGCTGGCTCAATTGATTAAGTGTCTGACTCCTGATTTTGGCTCAGGTCATGGTCGTGAGACTGAGCCCTGCATTGGGCTCCCTGTTGGTTGTGGAGCCTGCTTAAGATTCTCCCCCCCCTTCTCTCTCTAACAATAATAAAATAAAATAAAATAAAATTCCTCCCCTAATGCCCAAGGCCCTTCCTCTTCAAAAGAATATAGATGAGAGTTTACATAATAAGATGAGAATATAATTCAAATAGAGTTGGGGGGTTTTCAGTGTACATATAAATATTGTTAACTATTATTACTTTGTAGTCTACATTTTTCCTAAGCATTGTGTCATGTGTCTTTTAGAAGGAGCCTCCTAAACTTTTGCCCCTCTTTGTGCAGGAGACCAGACCAGCTCCCATTGACCAGAAGCCACGCAGGCTGCAGTCTGGTCTGACAATTCAACACTTGAGTTAGATTAATGCTCCCTTTCCAACATCTGAGGAGGGGGTACAGAGGGGATCTGAGAAGCAGCTCTGTCCCAGGTAGCCCTGTGATGTTTACCAAAGATTCTGGGGCTCCCCTTCCCCTGCATATGTCTCCCCTGTGCCCATTTGCAAGCCTCACATTTCTGCCATCCCTGTGTATGTGGGTGGGAGGTAGGAAGGGAGGTTCTTTTCCTAAAGGTGCTGCATCAATGTATGTGCTTCCTTGGCTTGATATATATCAAGTGAGGGGTTGGTATGTGGGTCTGCCCTACTCAAGAAGTTATTAGAAGAGGACTCTGAGTTTATTTGAATGAATATGCCCCAAACCCACTCTGCACCAGACAAAAGAACCTCTCCAAAGGATGGAGAATGACTCAAGGCAAGGAAATAGCCGGAAGTCTACTCTCAGAGCTCTGTTAGTCAAAGAATTTTAGGGGGACCCAGGCCACCTGGAATTCTTTTCTAGTCTGCCCAAGTCTGGCATAGGGAGGATGAAGAATTCCACTCTCAGTCCCATGGGTGATCCCTCCCTTTTTGTGGCATTGAAGGGAAGAAGTCAGGTCAGGTGTGAGAGGAGAGTAAGCAAAAGAAGGGGCCAGAAAGAAGAAAGCTAGGTTGAAAGATGAGCAGGGCAGGGCACAGAGGAAGGATGGCTCCTCTGTTGGCTTTAGAAGAGTGTGTCTAAACAGGTCTCTGTAGCCCTTGACTGGATGCCTGGGTCCAGGGACCCATGGGTGGTGCATTGGGGCCTCCTGGTAGTAGGGTATCATGCACACATGTGTCTGTGTGTCTGTGTGTGTCTGTGTGTCTGTATGTGGCCAGCAAGTGTGAACTTGACAGCAGTACATCCAGTTAACTATGGGATTGTTTGCAATAGCCTCTCATTCAGCTTCAGCTACCAAGGACCAAGGCAGTCCAAACCTCTTTACAAGTTAAGGAGAAAAGAAGACCCAGAATCACAAATCCCCAACTGCAGATACACATTGGCACAGGGGAAGAATCTCAAATTCTGGACTCATATTCCCTAAGGGCAAATTTCCCACATATCTGAAAAGGGTCTTCTATGTTGCCTTTGATGAACTGGATTAGCAAAGCAGATCAACTCAATTTAGAAAGGATTTCAGTTTAAGATAATAAGCACCTCCCACATCCTTTCCTTAGAACTCAAGCTCTCTTCAAACAGCTAAATCCTCTGCAAGCTAAAGATTACCAGTCAGTTTAATGGGAGTTTTAGAAAAGAGCTTTGGAAAGGAATGGGTGGGAGGGGCTTTCTATGTCTTTCCTGGTAGATGAGTCTTCGTAGGGCTGAAGAGCTTCCTATTTTATATAATTGGCAACTGATCATTTCTAAAGTATTGGCTTAGGACTCAATCCATTAATGAATCTCCTGTATGGGACACACAAATGTTCCCAGAAGAAGAGGCTGAGATGGAGTGGGGGTGATGAAGGAATCAAAGGGAGGTCCCTTGACTCACCGGCTACAGTTGCCTTTCTCTGATGTGTTCTTGCTGGCCGAGATAAGCTTGCACTCAAGGAGCCTAGGCCAGAGGGGAGGTGCCCAAAAAGGGCAAGTGTAGAAACTTGTGGGCTAAAAAGTGTGGAGGGGGTGGGGGAGGATTAAAAAAAAAATTGTGGAGGGGGTGGGGGAAGAGGAAAAGGGAGGGAATGGAGAGAATGGGGTTGCAGAAGGAGATTGATCAAATGGCTGATTGTTGAGAACATCCATCTCTCCTCCCAGAGTCCTAGACATAAAATCTCTCTTTCTCTCTCTTCTCAGAGGAGTCCCACATTGAGCCAAACTTTTACTGGGAAGAAAGGGCTGATGGATTCCTTTCAAGTAGTGTTTCTGTCCTCCCAGATGACACCTTGGAAAATTAGAACATGTTCAAACATACAGAGAAGACTAGAGATTAATATCATGAGGCTCACGGAATTACCACCCCCTTTGCCAAATATGCTTGGGGAAAGTTTTCCCTAACGCCTTTCGGATGCAGTTGCATTTGACAGCTCCTCCCTCTTTCTCCAGGTACCCCCCCCACCCCCCCGCTTCCTGTGCCCACCTTCTCTCCCACCCTCCAGTAAAGAGCCTGAAATGAGTATGGTTGTATTCAGTTTTATATTTATAAGCCCTAAGGAATTATACTAAGGAAGCAAGAAGAAGCCATTTGGTTGGTTGTCAGTGAGCTTTGTTTGAAGGCACCTTGCCCCAGGGATTCATTTGTAGAATTTCTAGCACAAGGTATTGGGGGAAAGAAAGTGTTGCATCCAGAAAATCTAACCCAGAAGTTTTCTGTTTCTTCCCATCCCTCACCCCCCAACACTTTAACACTGAATTTTCTCCCTAGCTTCTCAGCTTATCTGCTTTGGGTTTTCCCCTTTCTGGCCCTTATCCCAACCTTTGATTGCTAGGCTGCATTCAGGCTCCACGAGTAAGTAGTGGCATCTCTATGATGCTCCCTGCATGGGGAAGTGTGTGTCAGGATATCAGGAGGCAGTTAGTTGATGCCTGGAGGGCCCACCCACTTACCTCCTCATTTCCCCTGTAAAGTCTCTTCCACTCCTGGGGCCCGGGGGGCGGGGGGTCTCTGGCTGCTGCCGAGAAGTCTTTGGTTGAGTCAGAGGCAACACTCTGCTCACACTGATGCCAATAAACCCCCAGAATTTTCCACTCCACGATTATTTGTCCCTCCCTGACTGTGAATAAAGGAAAAGCCACACGCAGACATATGTTATTAAAATGAACTGTTTATATTATCTCAGTTGAGTCAATACATTATAATGTATTAAAATGGAAAGGTACAAAATTGAAATAAATACTTTCTGATTCATGTATAAATCTTTTTTTTTTTTGTCAAGATGACTTTTATCGTCAGTACATGTCACAAGAAAACATTTAAAATGACACTGAAACAATCATTTAAATCATGGTGCATGGAGGAAAAAGGTAAAGAAAACAACTTTTGGCTTGTTTTGGCATGAGACCTTGATACAATTTGGGTTCCCCAAAACCATGTGAAGGGTGGTAAAATAGAAATGCTCAAAACTGACTTAAAAAAATAAACAGGCTTTACAAAAACTCTCTTTTTGATAAACCCAGCCACTTCTCTACATGGTCTGCACTTACAGTAGATACATTCATTATTGTCCACGGGAAGACAGCAACTGCCTTTCGTTTTAAAGAGCTTGGTGGAGAGGCTGACGAAATACGCTGCAGCTGAAGGTGAGTAGAATGTTCAGGAGAACACAAAGTCTAGATGGTCTTCAGGAATGGCACTGAGGATGATGGGGTGTGGAGGGTCTCTGGAACAAGAGGTGGAGGGGAGGGTGCGTGAGGAGTCCAGATCTGAAGCAAAGCCAAGTCTGAAGGACAGCCACAGTTGTCAGCAGTGAAAGTGTGGTGTGGGTAATCTCTCCCCGTCTGAGCAGTTCTGGGTTTGTCCTTAGCCTGGGTACGTTTCTGTTTCAGTAGAGGCTAACCCAGTGCTTTGGAGACGGGGCTGGGACTCTTTTCAGACACAGCAGCACTGGGGAGACAGGGACAGGTGTAGGGGTTAACAATGAATGCCAACAAAGGGGCTTTCTTTTCTGGTTCTGACTGCTTCTTAGGTGGTTGTTAAGGCAATAAGGACTTTAGCAAACTAGAAGTTAAGGGCAGCTAAATTCAGCCAGATTGAAGGTAAACAAAAGGTGAGAAGGACTCCTTTTCTCCTCAGCTACCTTCCCCCCAAGCACAGGAGGCCTCAGCTCCCGAAGCTCTGAATTTACAGTACGCGGTAGCGGAGGGCGTGCCCTTTAGAAGGCTCCATGGAAAAGAAGGCTTATCCCTGACTTGGGGCATTTTATTCTCCAGACTCTCTTTCTTGAAGTTCTTTCAGGAGGGCAGGCTATGCTCACCCAGCTATCGAGTGAAAAGTGGAAGCACCAAGGTTTGTGCAGTTAGGGTAAGTCCTTGACTATAGACTGTCTCTGGCCCATCTCAATGGCCTTGAACACCATATGTCCTAGAAAGGCAGGCCTGACACTCACATGCTTCAGGAAGGTCTATATTCACCTGGAGAACAGGACTAGCCTTTCAGGGTTCAGGAATATTTCCCCTGCGTCCGATCAAATGACAGCTACAAAATCCATGGAAGTGTGAGATCCTTGGAAGGTTTGTGAGCCCATGGGTGGGTTCTTAGGGGAGTAATAGAAGCTCCTTTGAAGTCACTCACAGAGAGATGTACAGAATACTGAACAAAACAGATGCAAGAATCTTTTCCTTTCTTCTTATTTTGGAGTAAAGGAGATGGACCTTGAAATGCTGTGGGAAGGATAAACCTTGAGAGCTGCCTGCCGTTTTGAGCATCTTCTGGCAAGATGCTGGGTGTTCGGACTACTAAGACCCTGGAATTCAAGAACTGGCTCTCAAGCAGTTGCTAAAAGTTACAACCACTTACTCCAGCAAATGAACCACATGTGGTCTCAGTGAACAACACAGATATCCCCTCATCCTATAGAATGAGATTGCAGTCTGATGCAAGGGCTCTCCAGGAGATGCCTGGGGCCTAAGGATGTGATGTCTTGGACCCAATGGTTGTGCTCTAATTACTGAAGGCCACCTCCACCAGGGGCATTGGTGGGACAAGATGTTCAGAAAGACAAATGCTGGTTGTAATGGCCAGCCATCAGGGGACTAGTGCTCTGCCTGACCTTTCTCTGGTAGAAGCGGTCTTGTTTTGGTTCTAAGAAAAATGGGCAACATTTCATCCAGGAATCCAAGGACCATGACAAATCTATAATGAAGCAAACATGATCATCAAGCTGTGGGAGTCCAGATGAAAGAAGATTGGCCATGAGTTGATCATTACTGAAGTCGATTGGTAGGTCTGTAGGGCGTCACTGAACAATTTGACTCTAATATGTGCTTAAAAATACGGTTTGAAATTACCCACAATACAAAACAATTCCCCTTGGAGATTATCTAGCTTAATCCTTCATTTTAAAGGCAGAACCCGGTGGTTAAGTGCCCAAAGTCACATGGGAAGTTAATGCAGAGCCACTATTAGAACCCAGCGCTCTTTCTGCAGGGATTAGGATATTTTAGTTAGCTTTAATGCTTGAACAAGTGTCATATTCTTCAGCTCTGCTCTTACTACCTTGAAAAGCAGATGGCTGTTTTCAAAACTCCTGCCAATTAGCCTTAAGAACATATTAATGACAGAAGTTCTCTTCTCTTACGAAGCCCCAGAGGGGCGTTTTCTTTGAAGACTCTCTTCAGCCCCAACATTTCAAAGGGAGACCCCCGCCTTTGATAGCTCAAAGCAGTCACTGTAGCCACTTCTTCACAGGGGAACCACCACCAAGAAGGACAATGAATGTCCTTCCTGGGCTCCTGGCAGCATTCAATTTCCTCTAGAACCTGATTGAAGGCCTGGTGGGGGGAGGGGAGCATCACATTTATTACAGGGGTAGGGTTGGAAAGGGCAGGAATGGTAGCCATTTAAAGGAATAAATTTCTATAAAAATCTTCAACTCAGGGTACCTGTTCTCTTTAGAGAAACAGCGCTATAATCTAATTGGAGTCAAAGATATCTCTCCATCGAATAAGAATAAGACTTTTAAGAACTGGAGGCTGAGAGAAAGGAAGGCAGGACTCACTGGACCCTTCTCAGTGATGACACTGATAGGGAACCAAGGGGCTTCAGTAGCAAACCGCAGACTTTATTTTGCAAATTAAAATATAAACATTCTAGATACATCCTTGTAAGCTTATGGGGACAAACCTCAAAGAGTCCTCCCAAAGGAAAACAGACCAGATAAACCAGGTGCTTCTAAGCTCCTATAAAGGGGAAGGTGAGGTCAGAAAACCTCTAGAAGAATGACACCCAAGGAAGTCCCTGGACCCACCATTTTGCACAAGGAAAACACACTTGTTTCTGGTAGCTTGGTTGAGGTAAAAGCAGAGAGGGGCACCTGGCTGGCTCGGTTGGTGGAGCATGCAACTCTTGATCTCAGGGTTGTGAGTTCAAGCCCCATGATGGGCAAAGAGCTTACTTAAAAAAATAAAATAAAAAAGAAAATAAGTTAGCTGAGAGAAGTGCATATTTTAAAAAAAACAGATTATGAAGACTTGCTCAGGTTAAGAAGTTGTGGACTTCCTGAAACAAATAGCCAAAAGCAACTGTAAAAAGTTTTTCTGGAGAGATCAAGTGCCCTGGGAATGGAAAAGATCCAAGAAAGTCAGAAAGGCTGGACAAGAGATGGGGTGGCTGGGTGGATGGACAGATTACTCTGATTATTTTGAAAAATCTGTTCTAGCAAGAGACTTAGTAGGGCAGTTTATAAATTAAGATTCTGCTGTTTCTTACTCTCATTGTTCTTCCTTGCTCCTCAAAAATATAGGTAAATAAGATATCAGCTCATTTCTCATTCAAAATCCTAAGTCTCTTGACTTACAGAGAGGTAGACTTGGAGAGGGAGTGTGTATTAAGTGTGAGTTCACATTGCCTGTCATCATGAAAAAACAAACTCTTCTCTCTCCCAGAGACTTATATAAAGCATGACATTCTGGGAAATATCTGAATTTCACAAATTAAAAGAGGGACTCTCAGCTACTGGTTGTAAGTCAGAAGGGGGACGAAAGAGCATTTCAATGTGGGATCTGATTCTGGCTCTGCGAATTTCTAACTGCATTTCTTTGGGAAAATTACTTCATCTCTCTGTGGGTTTCAATCTCCTCATCTGTCCAGGGAGGAGACTGGGCCTTGCTGGCATTCATAATCTGGGGGTCTAGAGTACTGATTATTTGTCTGGAATAGATATGAGGAAGGGGCTGAATTCTAGGATCAAGACGTTCTCTACTAGCTTTGCCTCAAAGGGAACAAATCTTATTCTTAGGGATGGTGAGTAAATTTTCTAACAGGTTCCTGGGACTCCTGGCTACTGTCACGGTGGGAGGGGGTTTGGAGGAGAGAAGTTCAACCCCTGCACAAGGTCAGCATGTTCATGGCAGGAAAAGAGTAGTACCAGCCACATCTCTGTGGAATCCTGCCCCTTCGCATTCAACCTTACTCTGAGGAAAAGTAGCAAGTGCTATTCAAACCTAATAAAAATTTCAATATATTTTGAAAGATGTCCACTACCAATGGTCAGTAATGAGATCAATCCTCACAGTCACATATATTGCAGCAGGTTGAAATGCCCATGACAAGATGCTTAGGAAGTGTTTGAGCTCTGAGGTCTTCCCTCTGAAGAGTGAGAAAAGCAGTATTCATTTTCTACATGGTCGGCTGTCAGGTTTGACATTTCACTGCTGAGCCAAGAAGCCCCAAAGACCTTAGAGGACTGGCTTTGTCTCCAGATCTGAGGAGGAAGGGAAGGCCCATTTGGAGACAGGTTGCATCTGTCTGCCAAGAACCAGTGTCTGCAAAACCACAAATACTGGAAATACAGGTGCTTCTAATACAACTATGTATGCTGGTTCCTAGCAGTGGGAGTGGGGTATCTATCAGAGTTTTGGGTAGGAAAAATAGAAGATGGCAAACTCCTTGTATGCCCTGGAGAAAACAAGCCCATGGATTCTTATTGGATTCAAGAAAAGGTAAGACTCGAGGGGACAGAAGCTCGATGGCATTCACCAGAAATACTGCCTACCAATCCCATCTCCTTCCAAGCTGCGTGGGAGCCACCTAGCTGAAGAGAAGACTTTGGATGCAGGATAACCTCAGCCCGAAACAGCTCTTGACTCTTAAAAAGATGTGTCTTCCCCCCGCCCCCCCCCCCCGACCCCGAGCAAGCCCAGATGTCCCGAGGAGGGGAAAGGATGTTGCGAGCATAGAGCATGGTCTCTGAACACACAGCAATTAAATCTCTTAGGCAGTTAAAGACCCACTCTTGCTCTGAATGCACTGAAGACTCAAGAAAGTGTAGTTGCCTCCCCTCCCCGAAAATTCAGTGCTTTGTCATCTTACATATGGTGAAACAGGAACAAGGAGGACAGACAGTTCTTCTTCATCTCTGCTATTGATTTAGTGACACACCTGGAAGGAAAACCCAGGACCTCCATCTCCGAGTCCGTCAAAATCTTCCACTGCCTTTCTGCTTACTTCACAAAGTCTGCCTGCCTGTCTCTCGATAATATAAGTAGTATTATGTATAAAATATAAATAATTCTCGGATTCCTACTTAACTTACCGTCCTCCTCTCCTCCTTTATATAACTACATTGGGGCGGGGGAGGGGAGAAAAAGAAAGATGTTCCACGAGAAGGGAAAACCACAGTACTGCTCAAAGGAATAGACTTCTGGGAGGAGAGATGACAGGCTTTGTCTACGGGGCAGGGATGCTTCAGATCTGGACTGTACAGCAAAGTGAATGGAACACAACTCAACAGAAATTGGCAATGTAGGCATCTGTGCCAGACGACGTGAACTTCCACAACCTGGTTTT